CTGTGTGCTCGGACAGTGATGGAGAGGAGGCTTAAGAGACAAGGGGGGAGGGGGTGAGTCAAGAAATTAGGAAGACAGCATTTTCCTCCCAGCATGGAGGTCTTGGTAAATGTCCTTTAAACGCAGTAAACTATCAAATTAGTCCTGGCAGTGGGTGACAGTGCCCGGTTTCCTACATCCTCAGCCACACAATATCAAACTTCATCATTTTTGCCAATCTGATGGGTGAAAAATATTACCTCATTGTGGTTTTAAATATATTGCTCATATTATTAGTGAGATCATCTTTTTGAAATTTTTTCTTTTGTCTTTTTTGTATTTCTTCTTCTCTGGATAGTCTGTTTAAATATTTTGCTCTCTCTTTCACCTTTCCCCCCCAGTACATCCTGGATCGTTAGCTCTGTATGTTGCATTTCATTTTTCTCTCTTGTCACTTGTCTTTTAATTTTACTCACTGTATCCTCTTTACAAAAGAATTGTTTTTTAAGATTATTTTTAACATTTTATTTTCAATAACATACAATATTTTATTAGTTTCAGCTATACAACAGTGATGACATTTATATGCCTTATGATCACCCCAGTAAGTCTAGTACCCAGCTGACACCGTACAGTTATTACAATACTAGTGACCTGGTGCACGGATTCATGCACGTTGAAAAATTAATTAGAAGGTGGCCGGCAAGGCGGGACTGGGCGAGATGGGCGAGACACACCCTGAAGCCAACCTTCTGCGGTCCCTCCCAGGCTGGCCGCACCTGAGGTGCCACCGTGGCTCAAAGGGTGTCTACAGAGTGAGTGGATTCCTCCAGCAGGTGGGGTCCCTCAGCCTGGCCTTCAGGGATTGGGCCAAAACCAGCTCTCCGACATCCCCTGGGGGGTCCCGGAGTGCGAGAGGGCACTCTACAAAGTTGCTGTCATACAGAGTGTGGAACACAAATGCAAACATGCAGTAAACCAGATTTGGGGCAGACAGTACCCCAGCAACAACATAACCCACGGCCGAATTTGGAATCATGCGGCCCTGAGAGGAATTGGGCTCCCTCCTCTCTGGTTTGAGGGTATATCACCTGAAACCACCACTGCCAAGTCACTGCAGCTCAGCAGCTCCTGCCCCCTGGTGGTCAGTGGGTGTCATAGCGACTAGTCAGATGGACACTTAGCGTATTGGCCTTTTATATATATAGACTGACTATATTGCTTATGCTGTACTTTCCATCTTTCTATTTTTGTAACTGGCAATTTGTACTTCTTAATCCCTTTATCTTTTCCACCCAGCTCCCCAAGTCTCCTCCTATCTGAGGAGCATCAATTTGTTGCTATAGCCTTGCAGTATTGTTTGATATTAGGTAGCATACCTCCAACTTTGTTCGTTTTCAATATCGCTTTGGGTATTTGGGGTCTTTTGCGGTTCTGTATAAATTTTAGCATTATTTGTTTTAGATCTGTGAAAAATGCTGTTGGTATTTTGCTGGGCATTGCATTGAATCTGTAGATAGCTTTGGGTAGAAAAGCATTAAGTTTTGATGTTGTGAGATGTATTAATCTTTAACATTTTTTCCTTTCATTTATGTTTTCTTAAAGCCAGGTTTGCCTACTCATAGTTTTAACACGTTCTGTGATACAGGTTACAGTTATTCATATGGAAAATAATACAATAGTTAATAACACAAGAATTTCATGCACCCAGAACTGTAACCTACTTTTGCCACACCCTGTATGTTGTGAGACTTCTATGGTTTTCACATGGTTAGTTCCCTAGGATATGTGGAATTTATTGTTGTGAACTACGTGAGAACTGTGTGAGGTGGGAAGGATCTAGATTCTTTTTCTTTTCCCACGTGGATATCCTAACACCACTCATTTAATGGTTCTTCATTTCTCAGCTGATTCGAAGGGCTCCCTTGATCCTACACGAAGGCCCCACACACAGAGAATGGTTTCTGGTTCTCTGATCTCTGCCAGCTGTTCAGTGTCTCTGTGCGCACGCCAGCTCCAGCTACATTGTTCCCTGCAGCCTTATGACAGCTTGAAAAGGCCAGCTCCCGCATGGTTCTTTCTCAAAATGGTCTCAGCCGGCCATGGCGCATTGTCTCTCCCAGGAGCCTCAGCTTTTCGAGTCCCGTGAAAAATTAACTCGGAATGTTGGCCGAGAGGACACAGAAATGACAGATTAATTTCGGGGAATGATATCTTTTGTGATATGGAGCCTTCCCGTCCATGATCGGGGTATTGCTCTGCATTTATTCAGCTTCTCTTTAATGTCCTCCAGTCACGCCTTACAGTTTTCTTTGTAAAGGTCTCACCCATTTCTCAGCGGAGCATTTATTGTACCAAATTCTTTCACGTTTAGAACCTTCTCTCATCCGTCCCTCCTTCCGCGGCTCCTCCACAGACAGGGCCTCTGCTGCCCCCTTTACCCACAGGTACTATGACAGGTCGCACACAGTTCCCAGTGGTTCTCAAGTTGCATCTTACCAGTGTTTCCAATTCCTAACTGCAGGGTAAACCCCTCAGGCCAGGCCGGGTTTTCATCCCGGCTTGAGGAGGGGACATGCATGAGCTGTGGGAAGGTGTATTGCTAACAAGGGAGGAGGAGGAGGAGGGGGAAGGGAATGGGGCAGGGGTGGAAACTTTTTGGGCCGGATCTGTCAAACGGGCCATAGTTTGCCCACGGCTGGGATGGGGGCCCCACAGCAGGGAAGCGGAAGGAGCCCGTTCACTTGGTCTTTGGGAAACAGGAAAAAAAATGCCGCCCTCTTGGCCCTTCAGCCTGTGTGGCAACCTGGCACGTGTCAGGATCTGAGGTTTCTGCTCCGGGAGGTGCAGCTGGCCTTGATGACACTGCGGGGGGGTTGGGGGGGGGATGCCCTCCTATAGCCCACAGGTCACACCCCACCCTGAGAAGTCACACACTCAGTCACGTGGCCCACGGTACAAGTACTTTATTTCAGTTACAATAGTGCCACACCAGGACTACAGTAGCACAAGACGTTAAGAATACAAAACCCAGATTCCCAGCCCCAAACCCACGTCCGTGTACCTGCAGACAAGCCAGCCCAAGGGTTTCCTGGGCTTCAGGGCCAGGGCCTCCTCCCTGTGCCCTCCCCGGCCCCCTGCCACTCACAGTGCACCAGGGAGCAACGGGTGCAAATGACAGTCCCTCTGGCTGGACCCTCGGCTCTAGGACACCTGCTTCGGCTGGGAGGTCCCAGTCCTTGGTGCTGACAGACACTGGACTCACAGGGAAGGCTGGAGGGCAGGGGGGCACCAGGACTGGGACAGCCTGCTCCAGCTCCTGTCTGGCTCCCGGGCCTGCTGCTTGAGGGGCTAGAAACCAGCTCTGGGGCTGATCTGAAGGTGGGCGAGGCAGTGGCTGAGCTGTGGCTTCGGCTGGGCAAGGACGACCTGGCCTCCCGGGCCAGGCAAGTGCCTGGAGGAGCGGGGCCTGCCAGGCGGCCTGGGCTGTGGAGGTGGGAGAACCGTGGGGGGCACCGGCTGCTCCTGCCTCCGTCACAGGCACTGCTTCCCCGGAGGGCCAGAGTGGGGCTCCCATGAGCTCCACCTGGGGGGCTTCTGAACTGTGGCCTCAGGGAGGGGACAATATTCCTGCTCCCCGACACCACAGGCCAGCCTGGACGGGTTGGGGGATGCCCCCGCACAGCCTCCCACGGCTGAAAGCATTTCCCAAGAAGGAGTCCAAATAGCTACAAGGATTGTCTGGATTCAGCCCAAGGGGCTGAGGGTGCGACGGGGCAAGTTCAGGGATTCCTGTCCCGGACCCCGCGCACTGACCTGTAGGCAGAGCTCTGTGCTGGTGTGAAGCAGCTCTGTGGGCACTGGGAGGAGGGGGTATGGCCTTGTGTTCCAGTCAGGACACTTGGGGGCTTCACTGAGGAGGCCAAGGGACCCTGGGGGTGAGGGCTGCCTCCTTGGGGTGCGCCCAGGGTCACAGCCTCCGATAAGGCACCAGAGAACAGAGGGCAGGGACTGTGGCCAGGACCAGGCCTGGCCAGTGGAGGACGGAGCTCAGGGGGGGTCTGGGGCCTGTGGGGAGGAGGGCTATTTCCTTTTCCTCCTCTGGAGAGGCCACGGGCTCCCAGGACAGACATGGGGGAGGGCAAAAGAGGGACAAGAAGAGCACATCTGATGGGGGGTGGGGGGTCACAGGGTCCTGTGGTCCAGATCCAGGTGTTTGGGCACCGGACTGGGTTTGAGGGCCCTGCCCCGGACTCATGCTGCTACAGCTGTCAGTCCCCTGCTGCGACTTAGGGATCAGACCTTCGTCACTGGGGTTCCCGCTGTTGGCTCTGGGGACAGAGTCAGGTACGCTAAGAGGGGTGGTGCCCATGAGCTGGGCCCCCCCGAGCTGGCCCCTTCCTGGCTGGCCCCCAGGCCTCTCCTCCCTACACCAGGCGATGGAGGCGGAAACCATATATGCCAAGGGCTGAAGACCTGCTCAAGGGCCCGGGCGTCGCTGCCCCGCTCAGCCTTGCAGCCAGTGAGGCGGAGAGAGGGGTAGATGAGTGGGGCTTCCCTTGTCCACAGGTTATTTAGAAAAACAGAACATAATAAATATACCAAGCCTTTCCTTAAAAAAAAAGAAAATGTGTTTTAGATGCATTATTTCCCTGAAGATTTCCAGTGTATTCCACAATGCTTAAAAAATAGTTTCCCCAAAAATATATATTTAAAGCATTTGACACAGTGGTATATCTGGCGCTGGATGTGGGCGTGGGGCTGTGCCCACTGCCCTTGTCAGCATGGGGCCCAGGCCTGGCGAGCCACCAGCCTGACACCCAAATGCCCTTCAGAGTTGGTGCCAGCGTGGCTGGGGTGACAGGGTCTCCGCAGGGGGCCGAATCCCGGGTTATGCCGAGAACCCCCATCACAGGCCCAGTTCCGGCTGAAAACCCTCCAGTGCGGGGGCGGGGCCTGGGCGGCCAGGGGGGCTGGTGGCAGCCTGGGCACTGGACGGAGGGGGCAGAACACAGCATCTTCGCCCCTCACCAGACTTCACACTTGTGACGCGGGTTCATGGGTGAGCCCAGCGGGCAGTGGAAGTGTTCCGAGAACTCCTTGGAGTTGGAGACGGAGCCGATGACCCGGAAGCGGGAGGGGCTGTGGGGGTCCGTGATGAGGCCCTCGTGGGTGCTCTCGGGCGTCCGGACGGAGCACCAGACCTTTGTGAGGGCAACAAGGGAGAGGCCGGGTCACTGCGGGGTCCGGAGGCGGCCGGACTGCCCCGTGGACAACAGCAGAGCAATGAGACCCCCCCGCCCCCCGGTTCTAGGAGCCCCGGGGGTCAGCCAAATGGCCGAGAAAGAAACAATGGACTGGTGCGTCCCCCGTCCCAGCATCCTCCGCTGCAGTGTCTCCTGCTGTGCTCCTGTCCGTGCCGGCGTCTGTGCTGGATTTCATCTCAACAGAGGATTCGGCCCCCAGACCATTTGGAAAACCTCGGATTGAGTCCATGTCACTCACTTCCCGGACAGAAAAACTGCCTAAGGGCCTGGCAGCTCTGAGTGCCAATGGAAGGCTCTACGCTGAGTGCCGGCTCCAGGGACAACCAGGGGCATACTGAGTTTAAGAAACTTCTGGGGGTTAGAGAGCCACCAAAGGTCTTGTATGCATGCATATTAGCATAACCAGTGGACACAGACACAGGGGTGGTGAGGGCTTGCCCGTGATGGGAATGGCTGGGGGGGGCGGGGTGTCAATTGGGGGAAAAGGAGACATATGTAAAACTTTAGACAATAAAAAAAAAGAAAAAAAAAAAGAAACTTCTGGAACCCAGAACCAGAAGGACCCTTAGTGGTCACCTTGTCCTCTCTACCGGAGGTGGCAGTGCCTTTGCTAGCACGCCTGGCCCGTCCCCCCTGAATCTCTCCAGTGAGAGGAAGCTCGCCTCTCACAGGGCAGCTGCCCCGGGGCGGTCCAGTGGATTGGGGGGTTCTCCATCGGGGGGAGCTTGCCTTAGGCTCTCAGAGCCCCCGGAATGGTGAGACGCCCGCGTTTGGCTTTTTCCTAACGAACTCACCTGCGCGAACCCCAGGAAGAAGAGCTGGTCGTTGGTGAGCCCCAGGGTGGGCAGCGTCTGCTCGGGCCCGTTCCGCTTCACCCAGTTCTTGTAGGCCTGGGAGGAGAGGACACAGTTCGGCTCCCGGGACACGGGCAGGGCGGAGGCCGAGGGGCCAGCGCGGGAGATCTCGGAAGTTCTACCCCTGGCAGTTGGTTTCTGGGCTCTGGCGTCAGCTCTGACGGCCCAGCTCAGCCCAGGGGTGCCGGTTCCTTTCCCTGAGCTCATTCTGGGGCGAGCGCATCCAACCCCGTGGCTTTAAATACCATCTCCATGCCAAAGGCCCTCTGATGCACCCTTGGTATATTTAACGGACTCAGCTGGACCTCCAAGATGCATCTCCAACTTAACACAGCACAGACAGAAGGAAAGGGCGCACACGCACACACACACGCACACACACACACACACCCACACACACACACACACGCACACTAAGTGGTATTGAGGCCCAAACCCCAGAACTCCTCTGTTTCTTCTTTCAACCAAAGGAAATACCCCAAATCTGACCACTTCTCACACTTCCCATTGCTCCATCCCATTTCCTGCCTGGAGAACCTCACACAGCTTTCTAGCTAGTCTCCTTGACTCAAACCAGTCCAATTCCAACCGCCCCCTCCCCCCCACACACAGCAACGTAAGCCATCCTTATAGAACAGGGTTTGGCAGGCTTTTTCTGTGAAGGGCCAGAGAGTGAACAGTTTCAGCTCTGGAGGCTGACTGGTCTGTTGCCACCCCTCAGTCCTGCCCCTGTGGCGTGAAAGCGGCCACAGACAACGTGGAGATGGATGGGCCTGGCTGCAGCCCCCCAATATTTACAAAACCCGGCTGAGGGCTGCGTGTGGCCGACAGTCTGTAGGTTTGCTGACCTCTGTTTTAGAGGATGAATTGGCCCATGTCATTCCTCTATTTAAAAACCAGGCAGCGACTCCCACTGTAACCAGAATAACACCCAAGCTCCTTGCTCTGGGCCCAGCTGCTCCTCCAACCTCACCTCCCCCACTCGGCCCTGCTCTCCCTCCACCCACCTCCCTTCCTGCCCTTGAACTTTCCCGGCTGTGTGTCCATCTCGTGGGCCCTGCACTCACTCCTCTTTCC